TATTCAGAAAAAATAAACCAGTTTTATTAAGTAAGGACTTGTGTCGCTAAAGTTTCGTCGGAACGAAGTTACGGAAAGTTAATTAACAAACGGAGACGTAACACAAATATTCCTTTCTTGTACCGAGAAGGATACTAGTATATATATATCGATACTTTATTTAAAAAAAAACATACGTTTTTCATACATTTGATTTCGAGATATATTTGTACTCTAGCAGTTAAAAACAGAAAAATAACTTGATCTATTCAGAGTTATAATGTAAACAGATAAACAACACGTGTAATATTATTCATCCGCTATATCACACGTAAAACGTGGCAAGATTATTTGTATAAGGTACAGAAATATCGTACATTGTTTGCATTCGTTCTTCTCAAACTGTCATGTTTAAAACATTTTACAGTATTTGTTTTTAATAGAAATATTGGAACTAAAGACAAAATTAACTTTATTTTAATAAAAAATTCGTCACCTTTCACACATTTATAAACCTTTTCTTCCAGAAGAAATAATTTTGAAAACATCAAACGCCATATTTGGACTAGTGTCGACACCTTTACACTATATCACTGCATTATATTTTGCGTCTAATATTTACATGTTGCTCTAAATAAAAGTACGTAAATCAGCTGTTTGTCGTAAACTGAGTCAAGAAACGAATGTATAACACGAAAAAAGTATCCTCTCTTTATTAAATGTTGAGTAATTTAGAGATTTAATTAATCATACTTTTCATTTAAATAAATTAGTACACTTTATGTAGAAATTATGAATATTTTCAACCAGTATTCTTATAATACGCAGTTAAGACTAATTCGCAAGACAGTTTCACATCGGTATAAAGTAATTTTAATAATTATGTTTTAAAGTGTTTTTGGTTTGTTTTCAGTCCCATTCCTGTATCTTTCTTAATTGTATGGTTATAGACAGAAATAAACATTTGATTAAAACCAGTTGGAATAAAATGTCCTCATTAAATAATCTAAAATTTATTTAAAGTAAGTGGCTTATCTCTGAAATAATGACTAGATATTTATATGTTGTTTTTTTTCAATGCTACTGAATATAAACTGTCAGTATATACTGTAAACCTGCTGCTTAAAAATTCATTTTAGATGATAATTTTGTTGATGTTAGCCACCAGGGGAGTTTTAAGCATAAAATCCCCACACAAAGCTACCAAATATCGCTAGCAAGACAGCGTTGAAATTGCACCAGTTCTTCCAGATACTAACTTCCTGCATTCTCTGTACTATAGGAGCCCCCTGGTGGTCTTGACTGTTAGGGTTATGATTAATACCGCAGATAAAGAAAATTGATCGTTTCCACAGTGGAATCTCTAAAACAGAATAGTGGAAAAAAAATTATCATCTCAGAAAATGTTCTATTAATAAACCTCTGTAATAAAAATTAACAGACGTCAATATTATATATTTATCTATACTTTTTAATGAGGTATTTATTTAAATAACTTAAATCCCAAAATTTCTGGCTTACAAATGTAAGGAAAATGTGTGACTTTGAGACCAAAATATTGAAAGGAAATTTAATTATACCGTACTGAGGTATCAGTGTTTATAAAAAAAGAAAAAATTGTGTGTGAAATTGATGAAAAATATTTGAATTTTGATTGAAAGAATCAACGTAAGTAAATGATTAACAATTTAAAGTGTAAGGAAAATATATATTAATACAAGTATTTCTGAGTTACCTTCGCTTTGGTCTTTAGAATTAGTCCTAGTGGTTTTCATTTCACAACCTTCGATGTCGTCCCTGTTAAAAGCACAGTTTTCTATCCCTTCATTGACATTGGACACGTCATCGTTCCCTGATCCTGTCTTTGTGTTTACAATGTCTTCACTGATTTTGGTGCTGAATCTTGTCCAGAAAGTCAACCTATATAGCTAGGTACATTATACAACCTATATAGCTAGGTATATTATACAACCTATATAGCAAGGTACATTATACAACCTATATAGCCAGGTACATTATACAACCTATATAGCTAGGTATATTATAC